CGTGCGCTCACCAGACAGACAGAGACATAGAGACAGAAAGCGAGAAATCACCCCCTAGGGGGGATGGTCACGCCGCAATCCCTTCTCCTCCATTCTCCTCTCGGGATCTTGGGCACGCACGCACACGCGCCCGGCGTGAGATTTAAGCCACCGGGTCCGAGACGCAAACCGCGGTCGACTACGTGGGAGTCCAGCGACATAGCCATTATGCTAACTGCTGGTTCCCGACCATCTTGCAAGCTTTAAAAAAAAAGTTCACAGAAAAATGAAATTAAAGTACAAGTTTATATCAGTGCAAAAAAAATTTAATCCATGTATAGCTTTTCATAAAATGTATTTTTCAGAAACTTTCTGAAGATCCCTCATATTTTGTCCTAATATTAAATTTTAAATTTATAATTAGGAAGATGAAGAACACTCTGATAAAGGGGACTCAATGTCCCAGTAATGTGTATATTGGTAGTTTTCAAAACTATCTTATGCTTCTATTTCCCAATTAAGTGGAATAGTACCCTTGAAATGAAAGAGTTCATTTCAAAAGTCTTTAAAACTTACTTATTTGAAACATATTAGAAATTACAATGTTTTCATTACCTCAATGGAAAATTATTAAGTGGTTATCATAATGATTTTTGCTTCTGGGAGTACAGAACAGACATATTTTCTATTCATCCTGTAAGTATACATCTAAAAATCCTAGATATTATTTACAAAACAAACAAGAGAAGACTCTGAAAGTTGGTGAAAAGAAGGCAAAATGGCTAGGTGACTTGAGGAACAACACTGAACTGAGTTCCCTGGGTTTTGTTTTAGTTTTTTGCCTCATATTGTTCCAACTTGGAACTGAGGAATTTGGCAGACCAGAAACACCAAGGGGACAAACAATAACCCTCAAGAAAAACTTGTTCTAAGCAAAGGACTAGAAAATGGTCATCCTGGAAAAAGAACATTGTTAGAAAATATCTACTGTACTTCTACCAACCACCACAGGAATAGCAAACCAAAAGACAACCACTACAATCGGAAAGGTGAATGAAGAGTTAGACTTCCACCCAACAGGGCTGTAACAGTGTGCTCTAACATCTTCTCCTACTGGGATAGTGTCAGAGAAGGTCAACAGAGGAGCCAGAAATTGTGTCAAGAAGGCTGTACTGATTTCACTGCCATAACCCTCCAGAGGCTGGATGAGGGGCAAGAGAACTGAAAGAAATAGCTGTGATGCATGCCAGGCCTTACAGAGTACATTTGGAGATTGGGCTCCAGATGCTGGAGACAAGGCAAAAGGTTGGAGACATATCTTCCAGGCTGTAGATTCTAATTGAGAGCCTGAAAAGGAAAGAGAGCTTACCAGAGATTTTTAAACAATGATGTCTTACTGTAAAGTAGATCTCCCTCAGTGCCCCAATCATTTCTTTGTCACTCCATTAGTGAGTGAGTCATTCCCACTCTGGGGTTATGGGGTTGGCTGAACAACCAGAACTCAATAGGTGAGACTAGCAGGCAGTCCCACATATACATATACTCACAGTCCTGGGGAGGAACACGACACACCACTCAAGGCCACACAGGGGTTGCGCTAAGAAATAGACTGAAGGATCAAGGATGTGGAAGGCAGACTGATATCAATAGTTCAGAGTGCTACTGATTCCCATGGGAGGATATGACTGGCTTATTTAAAAATTCTGTGAGCTGGCAGGGAACTGAAACCCACTACTCAGGAATTAACAGAAACTTCGCCTGGTTTCCTTGATAAGGAATGTTTCTTGACGAGGGGACCTTATCCAGCAGCACAAAATGGAGAAAGGAACTTGTGGTCAGGCCATGCGAAACCCTCTGGTTCTAAATGTCAAGACAATGCATAATACTCCATCTTAATTTGGGGCCATATACTTAAGCACAGTTCACAGAGCTTTCATTTATTTATTTTTAATTTTTTTTTCTATAGGTATATACTCACTGGAGAGAGACAGAAAGAGAGAGAATGGGAAAGTGGAAAGCACCTCATAGGGACATGGTCATGCCACAATCCCTTCTCTTCTATTTCTCCTTTCTTTCAGGATTTTAGGCATGCATGACACACACCTGGCATGTTTCTCAAGCCACTGGGTCTGGGACTTGAAACACATGGTCAGTCATGTGGGATTTAGTCATCTTAATCACCAGGGCACTGGCTGACCTATCATTAAGAATCTTTTTAAGAATTTGACTATTAAAATAAAAATCACAGCAGTGACTGGTGAGATAAATAACTTTTACCTTAAAAAGTATTCAATTCGAACAGAAGGGGACAAAAAAGACAAAGGAAAAACTGAAACAGCGCAAGGATACAAAAACCTAGAAGGGAGATTCAAACCAGATTATATAAGTGAATACATTAAAAGTAAATGGAATAATCATTTTAAGTAAGTTAGTGTTTGTCGGAGTTACAAAAAAAAAAACCAGCAAGGGCTATTTCCTGTTTTATACAAATACATTTTGTAAATATTATAGAAGGAAATTTGAAGTAAAAGAATAAGAAAATAATATGAAAAGTATGAGAAGTAAAAACAGAACTGATTCAACTATATATAGGACAAAAATTATGCCAAGACAAAATATTTTCAGAAACAAAGAGAGAGATTTCAAAATATTTCAAAAATTTCAAAGAATCAGTTCATTAAGAAAGCATAACAATACTGTATATATCATTTTCAAAGTTGATTGTTCATAAAGATTACTATGATAGGACCAACCAGATGCTAAGGTGGTTAAGATGGCTAGATCTCACATGGAATACTCCACAGTTTTATTCCTGGACCCACATCTTGAAAAAATACACCAGGAGTGTGTGTTTGCATGCCCAAATCCCAAGAGAATGGGGGAGAAGGGATTGCCATGCCACCCGGAGGGTGCTTTCTTACTTTTTCTGTCCCTTTGTCATTCTCTCTCCCCTTGAGTGCACATGCCTTATAGCAAATTAAAAAAAAAAAAAAAAAGATTGATGCAATTAATTTCTAGAACGTCTGCTCAAGAAAAAGGAGCAGAGATTGTCAATGTTAGAAATAAAAGTAGGGGGACCAGCAGTTAGCACAATGGCTATGTCGCTGGACTCCATGTAGTCGACTGCAGTTCGAGTCCCGGACCCGGCGACTTAACCTCAGGCTGGGCACATGTGCGTACGTGCCGAAGAACCTGAGAGGAGAATGGAGGAGAATTGACTGTGGCATGGCCATCCTCCCTGGGGGGTGATTTCTTGCTTTCTGTCTCTCTGTCTCTCCCTGCCTTTCTGGTGAGTGCATGTACCCTATAGCAAAAACTTCTCAAAAAAGAAAAAAAAAAAAAAAGAAAAAAGAAATAAAAGCAGGGACATGACTATAAAACTGGACATTGAAAGGATGGTAAAGAGATATAAGGAACAATTTTGTGACAAAATATTTGACAATTTAAATAAAATGATACATTTATTTTTATGTATTAAAAGTGAAAGAAAGAGGACATTACCAAAAAATCTAACAAGCCCCAATTATAATATAAACTGCCCCCTCAAGAGAACCAGAAACAGATGGCTTCACTAATAAATTCTATCAAACATTTATGAAAGAAATAATACAAGCCTTCATAAAATCTCTGAAAAATATAGGAGTAATAATTCATCCTAACTTAATTTATGAGGCCATAAAAAAACCCAATACCAAATAGTATAAAATAAAATATTTTAAGAAAAATGCTCTTCAGAAAAAATTCTTCATAGACATAAAAACAAAATATTTAACCAAATGATAGCACTACGTAAAAGGGTTTATCATGGCCACATAGGGATTATTTCAAGTATTCAATTCTTGCTTACATTTGAAAGTCAAACAATGTAATTAACTACATTACCAAAGAGAAATAAAAAGTATATGAATATATGTAGAAATAGATATTTTGAAAGTATTTGACAAAATCAAGCATTAGCTCATATTCAACTGCCTGCATACTAGTAATAGAAAGATAGCTATGAAAAAATTAACAGCTAACATATTTGTTAATAATGAAAATAAATACTTTTCCTTAATATATGAACAAGCAAATATGTTTGCTCTCACAATGTCTGCTCATTATTGTAATAGAGACCCTAGCCGATGCAATATGACAAACAAAAGAAATAAAAAGCAGATCAACTTGAAATGAAAATGAAAACACTCCAATCTATAGATAACTTACCTATGTACATGAGAGCTCTATGTAACCCTCAAAAAACTTTAAAAATCCCACTAATTAGTAAATATTGGCAAGATCACATTAGAAAAGGTCAATATACATTAAGTATTCATAGTTTTATAAACCAGCAACAATCAATGGGAATATAAATTTTTTAAAGCTCCATTTTAATTTTATTAAAATAACCAAAAGCCACTTGTTGAGAGAGATGGATCCCACATGGTTGACCCAGTTCAAATCCTGGCTCTGGTGGCTTGAAAATACTCCAGGTGTATTTCCCAACAGTCAGTGAAATGGAGAAGAGATTATGGCATGGCCATGCCCTATTGGGAGTGGTGCTTTCTCCTCCTTCTCTTATTATCTGTCTCTCTCTGACAAGTACACATGCTGTCTGGCAATTTAAAAATGAAGAAATAGATCTTTCTGGGATAACAGAAATATTTTTCACTCTCTTTTGGGTTGTAGATACTGGGTATGTACAATCATTAAAATTTATTAAGCTGGCCAGTAAAGAGCTATGCATTTAATTGTAAGTAAATTAAACATTTGAATGGGCATTCTTTTCTAGTATTTTGTTGATCTTAAACCCCGTATATTACAATTCTATAGTAATGAGTTTGTCAGTAGTCAAGATATTTCTAAATTTAAGCCAAGCATACAATAAATTAATATTTGCATTCTTTTGGAGAGAAGAGATGATCTACAGGGCAGAAAATAAACTTAATTGAATGGTTATTTACTAAAAATTAATGTATTTAGGACATGAAACAGAGAATGTTGGATATACTTAATTTGTTAAAACAATCTTCTCATGGCAAAAGCAGATTTTCCTATTTTGTGTTGAGTGCTAATGTTGTGTGTATGAATGAATTATATGCTTTTTCACATTTTTTTTTTAAAAAAGGACTTGGGCAGAAATGTTAAGTAAAGATGTTTTGTGTCTGCTAAAGTTGTCCATGGGAATAGAAGATGACTTTTCTATTTGGTTCTCTTATTCCATCTCTAATAATGGCTCATCTAGTATTGATTCATATTTTTACCTTATTAAGTGCTATATACCCTTATCAAATCATCAATGTATTGTTGTGATCCTACAACAATCCACTTGTGTAGGATTCCCTTTCAACTTCCAATTTACTTTTGTAAAAAATTATTTATCCAATTTTATTTTTTATTATTATATTTCTGCCAGATCTGGGACTCAAACTTTGGTTGACCATGTGGGAGTCCAGCCACTTAACTACCTAGTTCCAGTGAATACAGGCACAGAAATTTTCTGGATTTGCACTGAGGTATCGACAAATGCATTTACTTTAAACCATCAGAGCTTCTACTCCCAAATCCCAATAGATCATACATACATACATTCTAAAGCATATAGCTCTTCTCATATTTTCATGGGCTCTTTCTCTTCCAATCCTTTAAGTATTTCATTTAGAACCCCAGCAGTGCAGTGTAGAAAGAACCATCAGGTCTGAACCTGAAACATGTTTTGTACATGTAGGCTCCATCAGGTAAGGCTGGCATGACTTTAGACATGACCCTTGATCTCACCAAGCTTCAGTTCTCTTCTTAGGCCCTTTGGCAGTTTTATAGATATAATATATTGGTAAAAGGTGGGATGTTCTATTGTATGTTTCAAAATAGCTAGAAGAGAGGATTTCAGATGTTCTCAACATAAAGAACTTTTAAACTTTTGACTGTTTCACAGGATGGATTTACTGATTAGTCTGGTTTGATCATGACACATTCCATACATGTACTGAAAAGTTACATTATACTTCATAAATATGTGCTGTTATTATTTGTCAATTAAAAACAATAATAAAAAAGAAACCAGAGCTATACTTAATCAATCCTCTGCTATCCTCTGCCTAATTTATATTTCATATTTTATTTTACTTTAGATTGTTGCCATAGGTTGGGTGCACTTCCCAGAGAAAGACATAGAGAAAGTGAGAAGTCAATCCCCAGGGGGAATGACCACACCACAATTCCTTCTCCTCCATTCTACACTTTGGATTTTGGGCACACTGACACACAGGTACCCAGCATGTTTCTTCAAGTTGCCAGGTCCAAGACCCTAACCAGAGTTGGCCATGTGGAATCCAGTGCCTTAACCACTATGTCACCTGCTGGCCTTTGCTATATTTTGTTTCCTCTTGAACTTCTTTGATCTCTGCGAGGCAACATTACTCTTATTGCAGGAACCAGATGATCAGTGTGACTCACCTTTTCTCTATATTCCAGGAACCAGATGATCGGTGTGACTCACATTTTCTCTAAGATCTCCTTGGACAGCTTACACATTTCCTGAATTTTCTCTTCTTATGCCAATATGAGAGGGCAGATTAACCCTGATTTACCTTTTTCCAGTTAATTGCAGTAATTGTTAGCTCATTGTGCAGTAATTGTGTAGAACACTATATTTAGCGGCCTATACACTGAAT